TGTTCCTTTTTTGTGAACTCAATTGCAGAATTTTAATTTTTTAATCATTATAATTAGAAAATTTAGAAAATTTATAATTTTTTAAATAAAATATTTAAAATATCGTATTATTTTTCCAAAAAAAAACAACTATTAAATTGAAACGTTTATAATCGTTTAAATATCAAAAATATTTTTATAAAAATTTATTAAATAATATAAGTTTCATCGTTAGTGCTTTCAATCAACTTTTAAGCGTGAAGTTTGGCACAAATTTTTATTTTTGCTTATAAACTTTTTTTTCCCCTTAAATCCGGCTACTATACTGATTGAAGCACTAATGAGCACTAACGAAGAACTAAAAAAAAGACATATGATTCATCGTTAGTGCTTCCAAATGTTCGGCCAACTTCACAGAGCTATACTATATATATATCTAAATAAACTTTTCTATAAATTTCAATTTACAAATTATGATAAACAGATGATGAATAATATATGAAACGTAATAAATAAAGTCTATATTAAAAATGGGACAAAAAAGAATATTTAATATTATAATCAGATGTGGTATCTGTGTCTAGATAGATCTTTGATTAAATTAATCTGTATCTAGATATTATTTTAGACGTTTGTATCTGTATCTAGATTCATTTAAAAAGTATCTTTTAAACAACTCTGAATATTAATTTTTTTTTTTGTTAATTTGAAAATATAATAATTGAAAAATTTTCTTAAAAAATATAAATTAAGAAATTTTTTTAAAATTGAATAACAAAATTAAGACCAATAAAAACTTCCTTGTTTTTATTAAAGTATTCGTCAAAGAAATAAAAAAAAATTTTTTAGATCCATCAATCAAAAATCTTTTCTTCTTTTTTTTTTGAACTTTGAAGTGGAGACAATTCGTCAATCAAAAATTTTATTCCCAACATGCGCATAGTATACCTAACCTTAACTAGTGTTTGTTACCTTGAATTCATAGTGGCGCTGCGATCGCGATTTAACAGCTGATTCATTTTTAAAATCTGTTTGTGAGATCAATTATTCTTCATTAAAATCATTATTTCTTAGATTATCATTAAAATTTGAATTAAAGATAAAGAAGTTAATATTAACAAATAAAAATTGATCTCATAAACAGATTTTAAAAATCAATCAGCTGTTAAATCGCGATCGCAATCGCGCCAAAAACGGCTAACTCAATATTTCATGAAAAATATTACGCAACCCTGAAGATTTTGCTCGTAGAAGGAACGAAGGTTTGAACAGCTGTTAGGAATCTCGAGGCTTGGGCAATATTTTTCCGGCTAAAATATCGAGTTGGCCGTTTTAAGAAACCGGCAGCTGTTTAACGACACTTAAACCTTACACTAATACATACGAATCGATTTTATGATTTTTAAAACCTATTCTTTTTTCGTTTATCATAAACATTCAAAATTAAAGTTAAATATGCCTATCTCCGGTCCCCAAAACCTATTTATAATTTTTTTTGCCCCTGGACCATATAACCCCGAATAGGGTCTTTTTAATACAATAAGGATTCCCTGTCTGACTAAATAAAATGGTTATTATTAATAATTAATATAATAAATAATATTTCTCTTGAAACGACATTTTTTTTCCAATTATTTCAAATCCCCCCCCATGTAGAGTCCTATATTATCATCAATTTTTTTTAATTGAATTTATCTTGTATTTTATTATAATTTTTTTCCTGAAAATTTAAAATGAACCTAAAAATTTCACAATTTATTTTTGAATTTTAATATTATTAATAATAATAATAAAACGTTAATTAAAATTTTTTTTTAGACCTAATAATATATATAATAAATAGCTCTTTAATCTATACAAAAAGGAACAAAAAAAAAACTTCCCAATAAATAACTCCATAGGAAGCTACAGCAACATATATCCTTATTATTTCTTAATTGGATTGTGATTAATAAATTAAAAAAATGCTATTTATATTTATAAATTTATTTATTTTATTTGTAAATTTTTTTTTGTTAAAATAATTATCAAATTTAAAAATAATTAATTAAGCCGTTGAAAGATATGATAAGAGGGAGAATTCCATGTTCCGGTATTACCATTAGATTAGAAAGTTAGGGGGGGAGGGGAATTGCTTGGAAATCTAAAATGGTATCGATGACATATAAATAATACCTAGACTGACGATGAATTCGTTAAGAGGTAGTACATCAATGAAAAACAGCTGGGGACGCCATTTTAATTTTATTCCTAGGTTTGATGCAAACTTTATTAAAGAATTGTCTGATCCATCATAAGGAAGCGAGTTAACAATTTTAATAGTAGTCTTTAAACGTGAAAATAATTACTATATGGGTTACCAAAATGGCGGGTACAGCTGATTAGCATTAAACGACGCTTTTAAATGCATTATTGAGAATGCGTCGTGAACCTAGGTATTATTATATGTCATTTGATGGTATATCGCGTTCCAGAATGTGTAGGACTTTTACAGATAAATTGCTCAAGGTTTAAGGGGTCTGCAATGGGCGGGCTAAAGTATCTTAGATATTGGGCGGATGGCGGGCTGGTTAAAAACCTGTCCATTTCAGAGTGACGAACCAGCTGGATGATAGCACTCATCGGCGTAACTATATGTCTTTCCTTGGCAACTTGACCTCTCCTTCTAATAAGGATTTATGTGAGGGAAAAAGTATCATAAAAATGTTTTACCACTTAAGAAAATCCTAAAAAAAACACCCATGATAATCAAGAGTGTAGATTCTGTAGCCCTATATCTGCGCATCTCTATCCAGACACTTTGTTTAGGGTCATCTAATCTGCATACGTATCTAGATTGACTTCATGATAACCAAGATAGATTCGGGAACCCTATATCCACATCTCTATCCAGATACTTTGTTAGGGCTATCTAATCTGCATTCGTATCTTAGATAGACTTGATATAGATAAATCAGATAACAACTACTTACTCTTAAATTGACTAAAAAATTTTCCCATACAAATTTTTAAAAAAATATTGTTTAAATTTTTTTTTAAATAAATTAATTATCAAAATTATTTTTTGCCGTTTTTAGCTTGAAAATATCCAAAGGGGAAAAAAAACGTTAAAAACATAATTTGTTTTTATTTTATAAAAAAATATACATAATTTGTAAAGGGACTTTAACCCTTTTATTATTAAATTTTATTTTAAAAAATAAATAAAAGAAAGAAAGAAAGAAAGAAAGAAAGAAAGAAAGAAAGAAAGAATGAAAGAAAGAAAGAAAGAAAGAAAGAAAGAAAGAAAGAAAGAAAGAAAGAAAGAAAGAAAGAAAGAAAGAAAGAAAGAAAGAAAGAAAGAAAGAAAGAAAGAAAGAAAGAAAGAAAGAAAGAAAGAAAGAAAGAAAGAAAGAAAGAAAGAAAGAAAGAAAGAAAGAAAGAAAGAAAGAAAGAAAGAAAGAAAGAAAGAAAGAAAGAAAGAAAGAAAGAAAGAAAGAAAGAAAGAAAGAAAGAAAGAAAGAAAGAAAGAAAGAAAGAAAGAAAGAAAGAAAGAAAGAAAGAAAGAAAGAAAGAAAGAAAGAAAGAAAGAAAGAAAGAAAGAAAGAAAGAAAGAAAGAAAGAAAGAAAGAAAGATTATAATTATTTCACTGTTATTTAGCTAAAATTACTATATAAACTAAACTTAGAATTACTAAAAAAGGAAAGGTATAAAACAAAAAATATCCAGAAAAAAAATATATTACGCAAGCCTGAAGAGATTTTGTTCATCTAAGGGCACAAAGGTTTTAGACATATATTATCGAAATCTCGAGACTTAGACAATAATTTTTCTGGCTAAAATATTGAGTTAACGGTCTTTAAGAATCGGCTCTAAACGAGCCCTTTAAACAACACAAACTTAAAAGTAACCAAAAAAAACTCCCCTAAAAAATTTATAACAAGAAAGATAAAAAAAAAAAATCCATGGTAAAAACAGTTGAAACTACTTAAGTCGTAGATAGAGTTCGGTTAAAAAACCCGGTCCGGGCCGATAGATTAAAACCGAAGTAACTTTACGTAAGCCTCACCGGGCAGAAATGCTTGGAACATCTATTCGTCCAAATTCTCGACGCTTACAATAATAGTATTTTAGGCTAATATTCCAACACTAGTCGTAAGAAGAACCGGATACAATTTTTAGCAATCGCAAAAAATTGAGCTGCTAATTTAATAAGTTATTTAATTAACTAATCAACTTTTTTTTATTACATAATGGCCCTTTAATTATTCACCTTATTCGAATAACTTTCTTAGATCTTTCTAAATTGTTAAATTACTTAAGATTTTAACTTGACTTTAATCATTACCACACCCCACCCACCCCTTCAGAATTATTATTTTTAAAATGTTATCCTACCTCATGCACATGCGCATCGCTTCCAATATGGCTGGACATAAAGGCACCAAGCAAGCTGTAAATTTATTTTCAAGTATGCACTCGAAAACCCACGTGAGAGCTTGAGGCCGCTCTAATGAATATACGATAACTAGGAGGACTGATGGTTTATTCATTTAAATGTGTGCATTGATACAAGTCAGCTGGTTATACGCCATTTTTTTGGTTTCCCGTAATAAACAAATTTACCTTAAAAAATTTTTGAAAGCTTTTAATTTTTTTTTTGAAACCCAAAATGGCGTGTCGTCCGTCAGCTGATTTGCAATTCAAAGACGCTTCACGACGACTCATCTCAATGGCTAGTGTATATGAGTTATTACCCTACGTTCACGGTTAGCGTGGGGCGAATCACTGCTACCTATTTTTAACAAAGTGTAATACCTTACCTATGATACCAACCTTAATATTTTAAAATTTTTCAAAAAAAATACATATATATTCTTGTCTATCAAGAAGAAAATCGTCTTAAAAATAAAATAAATTGTTCTATCTACCTCCTATCTTTACATTTATTTTCTTATAATTTTTTTTTCGTGGGTGAAAAAATAATAATTTTAATATAATAATTTTATATTATAATAAAAATCTATAAATTATAATTTACTTCTTCCGCAGGTAAAGAATGGATGATGACATGAATATGAATGGAATAAATTTGGGATCGAATCTGCAATATTTATTTTATTTTTTTTTTTGGAATAAGAAAAAAAAATCAAAATAAAAATATATATAATTATTATATATTTTTAGATAATTATTTTTCCGAATAAATTTCCTTATTTTATAAAATAAATCAACTTTCTTAATTAAAATCTTATCTATTTTATTATTTTTATTATTAAAAAAATCAAAAATTTTATCTTATAATTCCTAATTAATGGGAGGAAAAAAATTATTTTATAATTTTTAATTTTTACCAAAAAAAAACACAAAAAATTGTTTTTTATATAAAAAACAGAGATAACTTTTTTTTTAAATAATTTTTATATATGATATTTTAAAACACACAATTTTTTTATATATATATAATAAATTTTTATAATAATATTATATTTTAATATTTAAAATAATTAAAATGTTTAACATACCATTCATATTTTAAATAAAAATATAAAAGAATTTTTTTATAAAAAAAAAATATTTAAAATTTTTATATGCTTTTATTTTAATAGGAATTAAAATAATTTTTATTTTATTATTTTTATTATTTTTATAATATATATTAGATAGATAGATAGATAGATAGATAAACATAAACAAAACATAAAATTTATATATTTTTATGAACAGGTAAAAATATATATGGGGGGGGGGGGGGGGTTGAGGTGTTTTGAAAAATAGCAGGTAAAATATAAAGGTATTTGTTTATCTTTTTAATTTAATTTTATTATATTTTTTTAATATAACTATCAAACTTTTTATTTATTTCTTTCTTTCTTTCTATTTTGTTTTTAAAAATTAAAATGTAATATTATTTCAAACTCTATATTAAAATATTGATAAATATAATTTTTATATATATTCTAAATTTTTGTTTTTTGAAGCTTTTTCGCGATACAATTTGAGGTAGAATTCTTCACAAAAAATATGAGGACATTAAATTAGAATTTTATATAAAAAAAATAAATTAAAATTATTACGGTATTTTACGTACGATGGTTTTGTTTTAATAATTAAAGAAGAATTTAATAATATGTGATACATTTGATAAAAACCTATTTACAAAAAAAACACAAATAAAATATAAGAATTCAAACTATTTTTTTTTTAGCTGAGTTTCTTATAATTGTTGAAAACGTTTTGAGTTTTTTTTTCTTACTTAATAAGTTTTTTAAATTTGAGGGGAGAAATGTAGATAGAACTATTGGAGTGAAACATATATATATATTTAGTTATCTTTATTAGCCTTATAACAAATTTATTCGATTTATCTGATGGGAAATGAGGGGACGCTTTGCTTGACATTTGTAGGACTGTCATATATCCGTCAGATCTCGGACTGCCTTCTGACGATAGATTTTGTATTTTGTACAATGTTTGGGATGTGATCTGCATTTAGGTTTCGACTTGTTATTTAAGTTAAATATGGTATAGCGTTAATGTTGGCCTTAACTTTGATAACAGTTAAGTACTTGCTTCCCCTTTAGAGGTGTCCATATGGTCGCGATCTATAAGATTGTGTGCTTGGAGTATGCCCATATTCTTAGTCGTGAAACTTTAGGCAACTCTCGATCGGTAGTTTTAAACGAGATGGCTATAAGGCTGCGACATTCGTTTCTTCGTTACGGAATTAATTTTAATATTATCGTAAAATCTACCAAAAACTTACAAAATATCTTTTGTTTTAATATCCTAATAACTATCACATATTCTTATCATTTAAAAAAAATATTTATTTGGAAAGGCATGTATATCTTCAACATCCCAAAGATTAACTGTCTTTTATAATCATTGTTCTAGAATAATGATTTTTTAAGAGAAAAAAACCACCAGGATCTTTGAAAAAAACTACTTTGATGAAAACTCCTTTATAAAAGTATGTTTTTTAATCATCGATAAGCGGATTTTTATTTTAGCAGTGTTCTGCTAGAAAATATATATCCAAAGTTCCTTCTAAAGAAAATATAATCCATAGTTGGTTGGGTTTCCTTGAAATTCTAAGCTAATTTTACAATTTATTTAAATCTTAATAATATCATTTAACATCTAATATATCTATTGTAATGTAATGAAGATAAACCAAGTATGTTTTATTAATTGTAAAAAAATAAAATAGGAAACATTAGCAATAATCACCCTTCCCATCTTATGTATTCTTATTATATTTATAGTATATAATCATGGAATGGATATTTTACCGATTTTATTTTTTTAACCATATATAACATTAAAAACCTTTTTAATTCCTATTCCTTCAATCCTTACTAATTATTTTATATTATATATTATATAAATATGATAATTATTCATTACATTACATTATATTTATGTGTATAATAATAATAATCCTACTATATAAAAACCTAAACCAAAAATTAAATTTTTTTTTTTTTATAACCATTTTTGTTATTAAAAATTAAATTGAAAATAATATTTAAAAAAAAGGAAAATTTATCAAGCCTTCTAATTCTACAACAAATCAATTTTCATATACATTTACAATATGTTAGCACACCTGCCATTTATTATATTTTTTTTTTCCATCAAAATCCATTTTTTTTTGTGCCCAGTAGAAATTATTTTATTATATAATGTATTAAATTTTAAAAAACCTTAAAATAATAATGATCATACATAATAGTAATAATAATAATCCTCCTTCCTCCCAACCCCCACCCCCACCCCATCTCAAGATTAAGATTTATTTAGTCAATAAATATTGTATGTATATATGTGAATTTAAATTATTAATAATAAATATTGATTGGTTTTTGTATAGGTAATAGTTTGTATGTGTATACTCTCACTCATTCAGTAAAGTAAGTAACTAAGCTTAGGTTAATTATAATATAGTTCATCGGAGTTATCACATAAATTATGATAAATATAAAAATTGAAAACTTCCGCAAACGCATTTAAAAAACGTCGCGCGATAAATTTATGCACCCTCTCTAAGGCGTATCACTAATTTATTCCATTATTTTTAATGGTTATTTTATTTTAATTTTTTTTTTTTTAAACGCAATACATGACAAGTCTATTATTTTTTCGATTTTAATTTTATTACCTGATTAATTAATAATTGATTAGCTTATATATATATATAAAATGATAGGATGATACATTGACAATCTTTGCTCGAAGTGTGAGAATATTTAAATCTAAGACCTGCCCTCTAATAGCTGGGGTTATAGCTTATCCCGATTTTGAGGGGTTTTTATAAAAAAAAGAAAGGGTTATACAAAAAAAAACCCGGCGATCTTTTTAACGAATGACAAGTAGGGCCAAATTTCATTGTTCGATTAGGAACCGGTTTCTGTTTAAAAATCGCCGACGTACATTTGCTTTTTCGGGCTGGGGCCTGAAGATATCGATGCGGGTACGGGTTCTCTGATTTAAATTAGTATTTCCGGAAGCCAAAGAAACCGGAAGTTGTATTGGACGTGTGTAAGAGGCGTGGACCAAAACCAAAGTCAAGATATAGGAGCTTACCTGAAGGTGATTTTGTCGATTCATTGTTAATCAAGATGGAAAAAAAAGGCACAAAATGAGTTCAATCTAATCGGCCAAACTGTCCCTTCTGCATATCCCATGCTAGCTTTATCACAATTACATTATGTATTGTTCAATTTGTCAAATGAATTTTCGTGACAATTCCCTAGCAACAATGGATAACCAGTTTCCTGTTTGAGCTGAGATACTGCATGGATCAGGATACTGTTAGTTCCTCCTATCCCTAATTTCCATTTTAAAATGACATTCAATTTTCCTTTTTTAAAATTACGCAGAATTATATCGTTGCCTGCTTTGCAAGTCAAAAAAAAAAAAATCTCTCTCGATATTTAAATTTTATACAGCGGTCGTTTAGGGTGGGGGGGGGGGGGGAGGCGCGAATCCTGGGTAAAATAAACTGGACCGAAGATGGCGGAATCAAAAAATTAAAAATTATCTCGAAAATCTAAGTGGAGAAAAATATTTTTTAGGTATATAACTAATTCTTGGTCAATTTAAATTGCATATTTTTATCGGAGACCTGCGGAGGTGCCATTTGCACGGTCCGGCCCGACCCGGTTTTTTACGACCGACAAATCCGGGCCGGCTAAGAGCCGGGTTTGCGGATCTCCGATTTTTTATATCGGAATAAGATAAATGTTTTAAAAAAAAACAAATATATTTTGCTAAACCTGTAACCTTTAATTATACTTTCTCCATCTTTTCGACGTGGCATACGGGACGGAAACAACAAATTGCGATTTTAAGGATTCATATCAGTTATATTGTTGTAATACGCGTACGGGTACGATATAAAACATTTGCGATAACGGCGATTCGCTTTCCTTTTTACCGTAGAAAAGAAAAAAAAAGCAACTTAGAAAACTTACGAAGTATTCCGGGAACTTATTTAGAAAATGCGAGGTATACATAAATTAGATATACTAGATGCCCACAAGGAATATACACTGATCTTGCAAAAAAGGAGTTATCAATGGCTGTAAAAAAAAATGTTCTTGATGGTATGTTTTAATTTCTGCATTTATCTAGGGCCACATCTGTGGTATCCAGGAGTGCATTTATCAACTTTCCCAATCCACTCATCGTTAAATTCAAGTCGGAGGGCAAGAAAATATTGCGACACTTTACTATTTAGCCGATTTTGTTTGTATGATTAATGGAATGGATTCTACCAGATGTGGATAGTGTCAAGGATTAATATAATATATACCCAAAATCTATTTCTTAGACGTTAGAAAAAAAAAATTTTTTTTTAAAACTTATTTTGACAAATCCTATATCAATGGATATGATAGACAAGGCCGCAACTCACAAAGACATATTAAACCTCTTTCCATCCATCCACATAGAATTTTTTTGAAAGTAAGTAACTTTGATTTAACTTAGACCCTTACCAATAACTTTTGCGAGTGTTGGAATGATAGATTGCACCATATTAGGTCACCCACATTTGCATATATTGAAGGTATTATTAAAATCGGCCAATAACTTTCTATAGACATGACAAACTGGTCAATATAAACTATACTAAAGAAAAAAATCCAGGGTGATGTTAGAAAGCAAACTTCTTCTAAAAATAAATCTTGTGGGAATTATTCCTGAATTTTTACTCGCTAGAGGGCAACAATTACGCTCGGAAATTATTTTGAGAGTAATTTTTTATATTGTGATTTGTATGTTTTATAATAAAAGCTTGATTTCAATTTTTTTAGAATAATTTTAGAATTTATTAGTCGAAATAAAATTATGATTTGTTTTTTTAAAATTTCCTAGAAACACGCATAATATTTATGGAACAATAAATATACCTTATAATGACAAATTTTTTATCGGTATTTAATTTTCTAAAAGAAAAAAATAAAAAAATGAAAATTTTAATCTATCTTAGAAATCGAAATTCCTGAGTCTCCGCAAAATTTTAGATTTTTCTTTCTTCTTCCACGGTTTTAA